CTTATTTCATAGGAAGTGAAGACTGGAATAATTTCATGGATCTGGCTAGTTTAATAGTATGGGTAATTGAATGTGACATAGCGTATTGCTAACTATATTGTGTCTCCTGAAGTTAATAAAGAGCTTTTTAATTTAAAATCAGAGTATACTAAAGAAAAAGATACTCAGTTCTATGTCTCTTCTACACCCCCCACCCCCCCCATATCTTTTCAGAGCTATATTTACTCTATGGCACCAGATAACTGATATCTTCTGGCCAACATAAACATGATATAATGATACTGGTTCTGTAAGAATTATTCCATGTTCCTATGGGTATAGTTGAGATCAGAGTTTATTTTGGGACAGTCTTCCATTTAGGAGTAAATTTTTGTAGTATGTGTGTTTTTCTCTGAGACAACAGTAATGAGTCTGAACAGGCATCCTTGCATGTGAACAGCACATGTGGAAAACGCTGTAATGATTGTACAGACGTAGGCCCTTTAGTTGGCAACAGTCCCTTTCTTTCTGCAGGAAACTCAGAGGTGCTCTTGCAGTAGCTTCACAGTGCTCCTTCAACTGAAAGTGTGCTTGTCAAAATATGAAGTTGATAGAGTGAACCGAACAGTAATGGCTATGCAATGGAAGAGAAGATCTTTAGGCATATAAATAAACAGTACCCTCCACTTCTTCTTTCTTGGACTGAAATTCAGTGCACTTTTTTAGCACCATGCTTATTGAGAATGTGGGGTACTTTGTCCTTTAAAGTAAATAAAATGTTCGTAAAATATTTTTTTTAGGATCCTTGAATTTCTTTAAAATACCCTATTTGCATACATTGTTTGCTGTACTTTCTTACCTGTTCACATTAGAAAATGTCGTAAAAAGTTTAAATTTGGACTTGATCCTAATGTGTTTGAATAGCGTGGCTTCTAATTATGGACACATACAATATGGATTTATGTGAAGATGTAACAGTATCAGATGTAAATAGTTGGTTTTTTCCCCTTCCCATTTTCACATGATTTGAGGGAGGAGAGAAACTTTTTTTTTTTCTGAACAAGTATGTGCTTTTACTAAACGGCGAGGCTAATAGTATTTGTGTGTATCCAGCCTGTGCATATGATGTACTTAAAAATGGATGTTTATAAAAATCAGCTTAAAGGTAAATGGCTGTTTGCACGTGTGAAATGCTCTTTATTACTATCTCAAATGGACTGTACCACTGCAGAAATTTTTCAGAAGGAAAACTGCTCATGACCTGTTACCCGTGAAACCTGTGGAGATTGCCATAGAAGCTTGGTGGGTCGTGCAGTCTGGCTACATCACTGAGGATGACATCAAGGTATTTTAGTATAGATTGCACCTCTAATTTTGGTTGAATACTTCTAGTCCCTGAAAACAGTGGCTTTCCCTTCTCCACTGTGTGTTGTGGTGAGGTGGTTTTGCGTCAACCAATCTGTGATAACTAACGTGTGTGGTGATGTGCTTTGTAGGGAACAAGCAGCAAAATATGTTTTCTTAAATTTCATAGTTAAGCCCTAACAGCTGAGTTCTGACTGAATCTTCACCTTTGGTATGATTAGAATGTCAGTGGACTTTATTTTATATATCACTTCATTGTTTCTGCTCTGTGTGTGTCCTTATTTTTTTCATTGTTTGCACATGAAAAACTTGTGAGCTGACTTAATTCTACTTCCATTCTCAGTTTCTTTTTACAATCAGCTAGTCATTTCATCTGAATTTAATTCCTTTTCTCAAAGTATTTTGTTTAGATTGTAATACATGTAAATCAGTGATGGAATCTTTTTTTGGCTATTTTTGGGAATATCTCGAACAGTGGCTTCTTATATTCTGACATCCCATCAACCCAGAGTAGTTAACCTGAGGCACGTTACTTCAGTATTTTAATGAACATCTTTCTAGAATGGTTCCAGTTGTGTGGTTGAACGCTGAGTTTGGAAGTTTTAAAGAGAAAACCTGTTACACTGTGGACTTCATTTCCCAAATCCCTGTGCAATGAAGTACTATTCCTAGAGCATGCATAATTTTGTGCAGGCACAAAAATAAAAAAAATTTAAGACTTTAACAGGCACTCCAGTGAATTCTTCAGTGCAAATATTTTGATTAAGAACATGGGTTACTTCCTATATTCTTATATTACTTATGATTGACTTGAGTTGGTAATGTTTTTTATTTTTTTCAATTGTATTGGAGTTGCATAGACTCATTTCTACAGAAGACTGATGTGATTTCTTTTGCATAGATTTGCACTACGTCGGAGAAGTCTGCTATTGATAAGATAATTGATTCAGGTCCTCAGCTTGCTGGTTCATTAGACTTCAATGTAGTTCACAGTAAGTGTTAATGGACATTCCTTTTCTGTTTGTAGATCTTGCTCAGTAATAGGAGAATAGGAATAAAAGGGGATGTATACAGCTGAAGCATAAGAGGAGTTGGAGGAAAATACTGAAGCATAAGAGGAGTTGGAGGAAAATACTCAAGAGCTTGTACAGACTGCAGTCTGGATCTTGTAAACGGTTTAACAGTGAGCTGTTAGCAGCTGTTGCTCTGTTATTGTTTGATTCAAAAAACTCTTTCATTAGAAACTGTCAGTAAAGATTGTGGGGGAGGCAGATGACGACAAGAGAAACTAAAATTAAAAATGTCGGAGTCAGTAATCCTGGGTGGTAAAACTTCAATCCTTACTTTTCGAAGAAGAGGTTTTGTGATTTTGTACTGTTTGAACACCATGAAAATGGTGAAAATCATAGTAGTCAAGGGAGTACAAATTCAGAGACAAACTCCTCTTTGAGAAGTCTGTCTGTAAATGCTTGGCTCTGTGTGTGTGTGTGAAACATCCTGACAATTTTGCTTCACGTATTTAATAACACTTCACCTGAGGATTGTTAGCACACTTCCTCCCTGCTGTAATGAATATGGTGTAGATGGAGTCATCTTGGTAACATCAAAGGAACCACTGACAACAAATCTGGCTTATTTTATATTGTGTAATTTAACTTTATGCTTTACTATTAGAGTACAGCTGTTAAAAACCTTACACTCTAAAGATAACCACGCTGAAACGTTTTGCCTTTCCTTAAAAACTTCTCCCTGGCTTATCTACTCTGCAGAACTCAGTTGAGATGCTTAGTGCTCAAATCGGTCTCATGTGGAGAAAGTGTTGTTTAAAAATCTACCATATTATTGCCCTTATTGTGTGCAGTGTCCCTCTGTGTCTGCTGCAGTTTTGCTGACACCTGGTATTGAAGTGCCCCAGAATTTATTTTTACAGTTGTATAAAAAAGACTTTTGGTGAAGATGTGTGGAAAGGAGATGTGAGGACCTTCAGAACTGATGTGATTTAGTTTGTATCCTTGCTACAAAGTGTGTAAGTTCCAGCCTGAGTTAGGGCAGGACCAAAATGTATCCAGCATCCTCAATTGACAAAACCAATCCAGGATTAAAAAAACCTACTTCTTGACAGTACAGTGATGATGGTGAAAACTGAGTTAATGCTTAGGCAGGAACACGCTCATCTTTGTCAAATGTAGCAGCTTTAATCCGTGGTCGTTCTACTGTGCTTGATTGCTCTGAAAGTACTTGTAGAGCTCCGAGTGTACTGCATTGGACTGCAAGTAAAGAGCTCTATTTTAGGGTGACACCTGTTTAATATTAGATGTGGTTTATTGATCAATGCAGTGCAAAGTAATATTCTACTGCAGAGGCTATTAGGAAAAGTTACTTTAAATTCTGAATTGGCTGATGGGGAAGTCTACTTCATATCATTATTACTCTGGAAATGGTTTTTCTAAAACGATGTACTTTTTTTTTTTTTTCTTTTAAATAAAGGTTTGTATAACAAAGGATTTATTTACCTTGATGTACCAATATCTGATGACAGCTGTATAGCAGGTAAGTAAATATTTAATGGTATTACACTTACGCTATCTTGTATTCATTTCAGTTATCCTGTAGTTGTCTTGGAAGGTGCTTGTCTGTGTGCATGAATTTGCTTAAACAAAACATTTGAGCTATGAAATTTTTTCCTGGCTGAATGTTTTCAATGCTATTAAAACACTGGTTTTATTGTACATAGGATTTATTTCAACTTGAATTCTTAGGCTATTTTGTATACACATTTAGGTAAGACGAGATTCTTTTAAAGATTCATGGCATGAATCATTAAGTACCCTTGCATGTCTGCAGTGAAAAGGAAGAATAGCATAGAGAAACATAGTTCCCTTGCCAAAAGGACATGGGGTTTTGATGCCTATTTTCTGGGCAGATGCAACTTTTTTATAGATATCAGTTCCATCCTTCATGGTCTTGTCAACTCAATTATAGTCATGCGCTGAGCCTGGGGACTATGTAGGAGCTTAAACTAGCACAGCATATGGCTGCCCTTTGAACAGCTCATTATGCTATGCTAGGTCTCGGGGGTTTCCAAATTCAGTATAATCTGCAAAGACATAAATTGCTTGGAACCTGGCCATACAGAAGTACCTGTCATTGCTGTAGCAGAGATCAGTTAAGTGAAAGTCCTCTAAATACAAGAGACTTGCTGCTTAAATAATAGCTTTGGGAGTCTCAGCTCTGGAGTGTGTGGATGGGGTGGGTTTTTTGTGTCCTACTCCAATCAGAGCCATGATTTTAATCTCCAGCCACATTATAAAATCACTTTATGGGCTGGGTGACTGGAAATTATCTGTAGTGGATGAGCTGGAGACTGCAAGGCTATGATGTGAGGTAGAGTGGCTTTAGTTTTTATGAGAAAACACAATGACAACTATTACTTAAGGAGTGGGGGAATTTTAAATACCGTGTGTACTATCTTTAGAATGTTATTCTTCGTGACTGGGAAATCCTCAAAATTACAGGTACCATGAAAACTAAGTGTATATTTATTTTTCTGGCTTTATGCAGTTTCAGTTTAATAAAGTAGGTTACGAAATGGTAATTTTGCAAGTAATTCTTCTTTTCAGTGCCACCACTTGAAGGTTTTGTGATGAACAGAGTGCAAGGTGATTACTTTGAAACACTCCTGTACAAGATATTTGTTTCAATAGATGAACACACTAATGTAGCAGAGGTAAGTAAAACTTACCCTGCGTCAGGCAGATAGGAAAAGTTGAAAGGGCCCAAAGCACGCTGCTGAAAATACTTAAGGCAGAAATATGGATTGATATCAAGTGATTTTATTCAGAGGTGTCGCCAGGCTTAAGATCCAATCTGTTTCTTTAATCTTGAATGTAACTTTTATAGGCTTGAAGGAGGGCATTCAATTCACTGAAACAATTCCATCAGCTGGAATGAGTTTATACAGGGGTAATTAATGTAGACTATTTTATATGAGCTAGAACTGGAGCAGAGTCTTGTTTTCCCACTGTCCTGACGAGACTGTTCTGTTTTGCTAGTGTGAAGTAAAAAAAATTAAAATAGATTTTGTTCTTTGGCAATGAAAGCATGTAAGGTGTTGGCTTAAAGTAGGAATATAACTTTTGCATAAGTGTTTATAATTTTAATATGAGAAATATGTTTTTGTAAGGTCTTATTCTCAAAACTTGGTGAATAAGCACCTAAAAATATCCATTAAATATATCCAGGATTTATTTTCCTCTTCTGAGTCACATGATTAACCTAGAAATTACACAGTGGAAGATAACCTCATATTTCTTTTGTGTGCTTTCAAGTGGGACAATTATGAGACTTCATCCCCTCTTTTAATCACTTCTGATGAAGACAAAATTGCTCCTACTGGTACAGGCTGGGTTTAAAAATAAAGAAAACCAACAAAAAGATGCTGAAGCCCCCAAGTGGTGAACTACCCTGCATGGTTAATACTGTATTGTTGATTCTTCTTTCTTTCTTTTTTGTTTTTAGCTTGCAAATGTCCTAGAGATTGACTTGTCTTTAGTAAAGGTATGTGTGTATAATGCATCTGTTGAATTAATGTGGAAAGTTCACTGTCTTGCAACCTGGTTTCATATAGCAGATCCTTACTACGTGTATGTGTGTTTCTTCAGAATGCTGTGTCCATGTATTGTCGGTTAGGCTTTGCTCATAAAAAAGGCCAAGTAATAAACCTGGATAATCTTCATCCATCGTGGAAGAACGTTCCTTCGGTAAACAGACTGAAGTAAGTGTCTCTGTTCTTTCACAAGGCTTATTTTTCTCGTCAAAGAGAAAGCTAGAACCAAAATCTGATTGCGAAGCTGTTGATTGCTTGCTTTGACGTCTGCAACAACTAATCTCGCTTGGCTTTCTAGTGTATATAATGGCAAGAATACTTGATCTTCTTTTTGATCTTAGGACAAGGGGTGGTAATTTACCTTCTAAGTTCAATGTACTACTTTTATTGCTGTTATTTAGTGCTGGCTTTTTGACCTTTAAATGTCTAATTGCTCACTTTTGAAGCAGACAAGCGTACAATTGCTTTAAAATCCTGGGGCCAGAAATGACAGTTGTTACTGTGCTAGTACAGAGACGATGTCTCTTGGCACTGCTGTCAGTGAATATGCACGTAAAGTAAAGTTTGTTTGTTTGCTGTCAGATACTGTTGCAGTTCTGTTACTGACACTCTCACATATATGTGTATCTATTATGAAATCCTGGGAAAGTGATGTTAACACCAGTTAAGAAAGGGTTCTCCAAATTGGAGTGCCAAGTTGCATTGACTAAGAATTGTCAGGCACTTTTAGTTTGATTTCTATTAAACCATTTAAAATGACGGCTATGCCTGAGTTTTCTTTAACACTAATTCAGGCTGTGAGAGCAAAGTGAATTGGATTTTTTTTTCCATTGGATTCTTTTTCAGTGATGGTGGCTTGATGTTTTTTTTTTTTTTTTTTTTTTTTTCCTTTTTTCTCAGATCCTTTTTTCAAAATCTTGTATTTTCAAACCCCCAAATAAACTTTCCTGCTAAAGCCAAAGCAGGACTCTGGGGGACATCAAGCTTGACTGGTTTAGGGCTTAGAGATATTGAAAGGCATGGATTGGGTATGCCTATGCATGGACTACTAGCACTGGAAGGCAGAAATACTTCTCTGGTGCTACAGTGACCGATAGATGTGGATTTTAATTCACATTAATAGGAGTACTTTGGACCCTCAAAAGATGCTGCTTTCATGGGACAGTGGGGAAAACAGAAGTCCTATACAGGAAGCTGGGTCATCAGCCACAGATACAGATACCAACAGTCAAGATGATCCAGGTTAGCACTAACAGTAAATTTTAATACATTAGGATCAATTATTTTTATATTTCTTGAGTGCCATAAGGTGTAAAGGGGTCTAGAAACAAGTGAAACACAGATTGTGTAGATCCTTTCTTCATACGGAATATACAGCGGGGGAGGTGGTGTCTACTTCTTGGTTTAAAGTTCTTCAGCCTCATCTTCAGAAAAAAGCTGTTTGGCTAATCTGTATTATGGTTATCAATTGATGCAAATTACTGATTTCTGAATTAAGTCAATCAGTAGTTTAGTATTGATAAGGGAATTCTGTTCTATTTGGTATGGCAATTACTAACATTTTTTCATTTTTTTTTTAAATAGCTTTGACTTAAACTTGATTTTATTTTTGAATAAAACAAATGTGATCATACATTTTGTTTTTGTTCTCTATTAGCTGAAACAGCCAGCGTGAGCAGCCTGAATCTGTCTAGCGGACATACAAAACGTATTGCCTTCCTGTTCGATTCTACTCTCACTGCCTTTTTAATGATGGGAAATCTTTCACCGGTATGTCAAAATTGTTCAATGTATTATGCCAAGAATATATATTTAGAGCTTTAAAATACTTTGACTTCAATATAATACAGCTGTAATTATTTTAAAAAACTTCTGTTGTTTGTTGTTAAGAAATGCTTTTGCTTAATAAAACTTTTGCTTGCCCATTCCATTCTCAAAGAATTAAGACAGTTTTGTTTTGTTGTTCCAGAACTTGAAAAGTCATGCAGTCACTATGTTTGAAGTTGGGAAGCTGTCAGATGAGAGTCTTGACAGCTTCTTGGTGGAGCTGGAAAAGGTAATCTGCTATATGTTTGACCAAATGCTTTTTCAGCACTTGAAGTATAAAGGGGCTAAAACCCCCTAGTATTTTCACTGTGTAAAAATGCTTATTTAGCAATAGAATAAGAGCAAACACCTTATCATACTGAACCTAGGTGGTTCAGTTAAAATGTTTCTTATTCACAGCATGTATACCTCTAGTGACTTTCAGGGACATACCATGCACATGTATGAATGTGACTAGTCTGGTGAGCAAAGTGGGCTCATGAACTATATTTGCCTGAGCCTGTGTGTACACACACCTGCAATAGGGCTTGTTCGATGGAAATCAATTTCTTTTTAG